ACATTTCACCTTTTTTGAAATGAGAAAACCACCTGTACACTTGCATTTTTCCGTCCTTGTGAGCGGTGTTCAACATCACAACAGTTTCTGCAGCACTTTTCCTGAGCAGAAAACTAAAGTTCACAGCCGCTTGCCATCACGAAAAAATGAGGTTCGAGAGAAACTGCTTTTACAAAAAAATTTGCTGTGCCCACAGTGAACCTTCCCAGGTGACACCACTAAATGCACTAACTCAGACCTGGTTGCTCGATGCTTGCCTAGCAGGAAAAAGATGTGCTGTGAAAGCTCTGTTTCAGTTTTTTTCCATACCCCCTCGTGTGTGTGTGTGTGTGTGTGTGTGTGTGTGTATTAGAGAGAGAGAGCGAGAGAGAGAGAGAGAGAGAGAGAGAGACTTGGCTGTTAGTTGAGGTAATGCTGTGGCCTTTCTTTGTATCCTTACTGCTTGCTGATTGTGGCTTGTGGTAGCCTGTTAATTAGGGGTTCCTAAATAAAGCCCTGTAAATGTGAGTTTTGTCTGTGAGTTCTGTATGGCTACTGCACAAATAATCAAACCCAGCAGAGTGTCGAGGGAAAAAAGGTTGTTGTCAGATTTGGTAAAGGAGGATGGAGGGTAGAAGCAGCCCCATGGCAAAAGGCAATAGGGAAACCAGAGGTGAGGTATGGCCCCTCTGTGCCATTTAATCAGATGGTTTATGCTTATCACATGTTAAATTTTAAGTTTAACAGAAAACAATTTCTTAGCATACTGGTCAAAATATCTTCATTTCTTAATGTGAAACTAACCCTGGAAAAACACAAAAGTCTCAAACGGGCTGGTTTTAAAAAAACACACACACAAACAAATACAAGTAAGAGTCAATAACTCTATTCTTAACAATCCAAGCAAGTGGGTTGAAATCACAGAATGTTTGGATGTAGGTGTGTGTGATCATCTGGTTTAGATATGGTAAATACAGGGCACTAAGGCCCCTGTCCCTGGCAGACATCACTAATCAATCACTTTCTCAACAAATGCTCCAGAAAATCACTACCAATTTATCAGGTTCAAGCACTAGAAGTGAAACTTATCTGTCACCACTGTTCTGGGTCAGCCATTCAATTTTACAGGTAAGCAAACAGGCCTGGGGAGAGAAAGTGACTCTTCTCAGAATGAAAAACTCTCTAGCAGGTGGTTACAGCAAATCAGACTGCTTCTGACTCAAAGTCAGAACTGTTCACGATCACACCCTTCCTTCCTCATCTGCCCTTGATGAAACTCCTGACTTTCTAAGGATTCAGTGATGATTGTCATTCTGTCCTTTACTCAGTATTTATTTGGTGCCTTATTGCTGAAGGGTCTACATAATTTGTATTTTATAAAGGTTTGACACGTCCTCTCTTCTCTTACCTGAAAAGTACTTGAAAGGAAGAGACTGAGCGATTATGGTTTTTCATAGTATTGTAGTTTAGGGTGTTGGCGTCATTGTAGGGAAGTCAGGAAGAAGGCCTAACAGGGTCTACGGGCCAACGGCAGTGAGGCGGGCGGAGAGACTCCGAATTTGTGTCTGATGAAGAGGCCAGGAAGGGAAAGCGCTGAGACGCACAATGAGGTCAAAGTAACAGAAGGGAAAGAACACGCAAAGGGCTCAGAGAGGAATAAAACTAATCATAAAAACTCCTGAGATTTTTTTTTAATATATATATATATAATTTTTATTTATTTTTTAAGTAGGAAAATCACTGGGGATGGGAGGGGGCATAAGAGTAAGGTCCCTGAGAACACCAGGCGAGCAGATTTTGCAATGTTATTTGTTGTATAGATTTTATTTTTGTTTTCAAAGATTGGGTTTTCTTTTGATTCAGACTGCTGTTTACCTAGTCAGATATATATGACTGAATCGGAACCCTTATCACCCATATGCTGAACTGCATACTCAAGGGGGTACCAAACTAAAAATGGAATTTTTTTCCCAAAGCTATGTATTTAAGTTTTTTTGACAAAACAACCTTTTCAAAGTATTCTCCATTACACTTAATACATTTGTCAAAGCTGCAATTCTACTCTTGGAAACATTTTTCAAACGCATCTATTTGGAGAGCTGATAGCACCATTCTCTTCATCTTTTCTTCGTCATCAAATCGCTATCCTTTCATGTTCCTCTTCATTCACGGAAACAAAAAGAAGTCACACGGCACAAGTCCAGGTGAGTAAGGTGAGTGAGGCAAGAAAG